GGCATTTATGTTAGCCAGATTTAACATATTGCCATCGGGAATCTTCTCTGGAAGATGCCATAAAATCCCTTATGAACTTAGACAATGCCCTTGTAGTCAGGGTGCCATCGAATCTGTTTCCCATGTTCTTTTAAATTGCCCATTTTATACTAAGACTCCCTTGTTTTTACATGGCGTGGTCTCCCTGAGAGTGTCAAAGCCCAGTTGCTACTCTCGGAGCAAAACTCTTCTATAACTTTTAATGTTGCCTGTTTTCTTCAATCTGCAATTCAAATCAGGGAAACTATAAACTGATCAGGTTTTTTTCCTTGCTGTTTGTTTGTATGACAGCCACATTTTTGATGTATTCCTAAATTTTAATGTACTTTTATATCTGATATGCCAATAAAGGTTGTCTGTCTGCCCTCCCACCTATGCTTTCATATTTTAATTATTGTGTTGGTACCCATCTTTGCTATGTCTCTGGCTAACAGGGCCAGGAAGGAATTTTACTCTTGGTTTTAATTGGCTAATAGGCTTAGGGGTTTTTGCAACACTCCTTTCATAGAACAGCTGTAAGTGATCTTACTTGGGGAATGATACCTTTTTCTTTTGCAGGTGTGATGGTAGCTTGAGGACAGTAGTTTTGATCAGGAAAATGGTTCACATGGAAAGTATTTGGCATCTCCTCCCTATCCCATTGCTCTAAAATAATGGGGGATCTCTTAAGAGCATTTTAAAAAACAATCTATTTTAAAATGAAATCTGAATTTAGTACAGACATCTGATGCCACACTCATTCAAGCTCATTACAAATTATACTCAAGTCTGCTTTTCTATGGAAAAGAATGAACCATTTAAAATATTTTCCTGTTGACTCGATCATTAAAAAGTAATGGCAAAGTAGGTGATGAATTGGCATTTGTTGCGGCTAAGTATGACTGTTTAGAACTGCCAGGCAAAGAATGGAGTCATTTCTATTTGTAATAAACACAGTTACTCTCTATAATTTGTCCATCTGAAGACATATCTATTCACAGGGAAACTGAAATGAAATGGAATCCAGAACTTGCAAGAAGAAATCTGTCTGATCTGCCTCTTACTTCCTTCATGGAAGACCATATTGCAATAACTGATCATTGAAACCCATAGAAAAGGACAAGGAAATACTGGATTTGTAAGTCCCATCCACACACTCTTATCTGTGAGTGGCTGCTGATACAAACCTTCAGTATTTCTTTGTCCCTCCTCCTACCCTGTTACTCCTCTGTGACTGTTAGCCACTGAAAGAGAGAGAGAGAGAGAGAGAGAGAGAGAGAGAGAGAGAGAGAGAGAGATATGCCTGGAGGGAGCTGTGGTGTCTTTTCTCTTAGTCTCCCAGCCTGACATGGTAGTATACCATTGTTCTCTTCTAGGACTTCAGATGAACCCCTGGAACTTTCCAAAGGCTTACCACCACCCTGAAACAATCCCTTATCACACACATACATAGACCTTTATTGGCATAACTAATCCCTTATCACATCCTTCTGGGGTCAGGGCTACCAGAAAGGGAACAGCACAGTAGTGTAAATTGGAATTCACTGCCACAGGAAGTGGTGATGGCTGCAAGCATGGACTGCTTCAAAAGGGAATTAGATAAGCATATGAAGCAGAGGTCCATCAGTGGCTATTAGCCACAAGGTATAGATAGGGGCTCTGGGGCAAGTGATGCTCTGTCTTCTTGGTGCTTGGGGGGATCAACAGTGGGAGGGCTTCTAATGTCCTGGCCCCACTGATGGACCTCCTGATGGCACTGGTATTTCTGGCCACTGTGTGACACAGAGTGTTAGACTGGATGGGCCTTTGGCCTGATCCAATATTGGCGTCTCTTATGTGAGTATATGTGCTCTCTTGCAATTTGGTGTAGTGGTTAGGAGCACAGACTCTAATCTGGGAGAACTGGGTTTGATTTCCACTCCTCCACATGGAGCTGCTGGTGTGACCTTGGGTCAGTTACAAGATTGTTCAGAGCTGTTCTCTCAGGAGCAGTTCTTGAAAGAGCTCTCAGCCTCACCTACTTTACAGGGTGTCTGTTGTGGGGAGGGAAGGGAAAGGAGATCGTAAGCTGCTCTGAGACTCCTTCAGGTAGTGAAGGGTGGGTTATAAATCCAATCTTCTCTTCTCTTTTGAAATTAAGTATAGCTTTATTCACTAAGTTCCATTCTAAGTACCAACAGGGGAGCACAGAAGGTTACAATCTACAAAAACATGTTCAGCATTAAAGCAAACAAAGTGAACACAAGACTAATCTGACAGACAATGAATACATGAATCCCTGGCATCCCCTCTTTTGAAAAATGGGGTGGCACTGGCACAGGCCTTTGTAGAGATGTCCTCAACATGTCTTCTTCCTTATTAGGCACCACCACACACATGACTCACATACCCTTGCTTCCTTGCTTCGTACCGTTGGTGTTTTTAACCTTCTTCTCAAGAGGGATTATACATAATTGTATATATCAAGGAAGGATAATTATATATTACAGAGTATATAAAACAGGAAACATTTCTCCCCAACATCAAGACGGGGACGGCAGAGGATGAGATGGTTGGACAGTGTCATCGACGCAACGAACATGAAATTGAGCCAACTTCAGAGGACAGCGGAAGACAGGAGGGCCTGGCGGGAGCTGGTCCATGGGGTCGCGAAGAGTCGGACTCGACTGTGCGACAGAACAACAACAACAACAAAAAATGACAGAGTGGGTGGGCAAGTGGCATCCTTTTAAAAATTTGCCATGCCTCCACAGAAGCATTCATTCGATGCACCACTGTATTTTGACAGTTCTGCGATCTCTCCACCAAGTACTGCAGCCCCTCTCAGCCTCCTTTGCTTCACCTCTCTTCAGTGGAATAAATGGGCGGGGGAGTGCAAGTATTATGCAGGTTTACATGAGAGTAGTCCCATCGACTTCAGTAAATTTACTCTTGTGTCAGTCATGGGATGCTCTCAACAACTGTGAAGCAGAAACAGGAGAGAGGGGTTTGGCAGGGGAGATTTGTCCCTCAAAAAAAAACCTCCGGGACTCCCAATCCAGAATACCTATATGGCTGCTTGGATGTACAAGCAGTGGTTGAGAACATTAGAGGTGATTGTGCACTTATGCACACTTTGCGACCTGATCAAAAAAAGGGGGGGAGCAAAATGGATAGGAAGGTTCACACTTCCCAGCCGGCTTGAGTTCACAGCAGGGAAGTTCAGACATCCTGAAATTTGTGTGTAAGGTCGAATAGCCAATCCATATTCTTGGGGGACTGGCTTTCTGTAGCCCACCCATCCTCATTAGCCAACCTTATGAGGTTGTGCATCAGCAAGTTTTAGGCTGCGGTCAGATGACAGACTTGGTGTGCTCTGCCCCCAGCTCTAATTAATCCAGGTTTTTTTGTAAGAGAGAGTTTTGTTCAGACATCCCACCCTGAACCCACCTCACCACATGCTGGCAAATTCATAGAAAACAGAGAGTGAGTATAAATGGGCAATTTTCTCAGTGGAGGGTGGTAAGCAGTGGGGTACCTCAGGGATCAGTACTTGGTCTACTGCTTTTTAACTTGTTCATTAATGATTTAGAGATGGGAGTAAACAGTGAAGTGGCTAAATTTGCGGATGAAACAAAGTTGTTCATGGTGGTGAAAACCAGTGAGGATTGTGAGGCACTCCAAAGGGATCTGTCAAGGATGGGCGACTGGGTGTCAACATGGCAAATGGGGTTCAATGTGGCCAAGTGCAAGGTGATGCATATTGGAGCCAAAAATCCTAAATATAAATACACGTTGATGAGGTCTGAATGGGCAGAGACTGATCAAGAGAGAGATCTTGGAGTTGTAGTAGATAACTCACTGAAAATGTCGAGACAGTGTGTGACTGCAATAAAGAAGGCCAATGCTATGCTGGGGATTATTAGGAAGGGTATTGAAAACAGATCAGCCAATATCATAATGCCCCTATATAAATCAATGGTGAGACCTCATTTGGAATACTGTGTGCAGTTCTGGTCACCACACCTTAAAAAGGATATTATAGCTTTGGAAAAAGTGCAGAAAGGGGCAACTCGAATGATAAAAGGGTTGGAACACTTTCCCTATGAGGAAAGGTTAAAGCGCTTAGGGCTCTTTAGCTTGGAGAAAAGACGACTGAGGGGTGACATGATCGAGGTTTATAAGATTATGCATGGGAAAGAGCAGGTAAAGAAAGAGGTACTTTTCTCCCTTTCTCACAATACAAGAACCCGTGGGCACTCCATGAAATTGCTGAGCGGTCGGGTTAGAACGGATAAAAGGAAGTACTTCTTCACCCAAAGAGTGATTAACACTTGGAATTCACTGCCACAGGAAGTGGTGGGTGCTACAAGCATGGACGGCTTCAAAAGGGAATTAGATAAGCATATGGAGCAGAGGTCCATCAGTGGCTATTAGCCACAAGGTATAGATAGGGGCTCTGGGGCAAGTGATGCTCTGTCTTCTTGATGCTTGGGGGAGGGGTCAACAGTGGGAGGGCTTCTAATGTCCTGGCCCCACTGGTGGACCTCCTGATGGCACTGGTATTTCTGGCCACTGTGTGATACAGAGTGTTGGACTGGATGGGCCTTTGGCCTGATCCATCATTGGCGACTCTTATGTTCTTATGTTCTTATGTACTCCATGGTTGACCATTCAGATTATTATTGTGTGGTAATGACAGAGTGGGTGGGCAAGCGGCATCCTTTTAAAAATTAAAATAAATGGAGTTCCTATAATAAAGAACTCTTATTAGTTTGAAAAGGTACAAGAGGCTCCATGTGTAACTTTGTTTCTCACTAGCACACACCCTGACCAGATGGCTCTGCTGAGTTTTAAGCCACTGAGCAGTCTGCTACCCTACTAAAAATCCCAGTACTTCCTTCATCACACACAGAGAAACATTACTAGTCATAGCAGTAGGCTTTCATGAAAACCTGCTGACTGGATAATTCCCAGAAGAGCACTGCATCACATCTCCTTTCTCAAGGGCATTCATGCTTCTTGTCTTGCAACGTTTTCCAGAAAAATAGCAGAATACTTGGACTAATTTCATGGGAGGTGATTAAACTGTGGTAAGTGCATGGAGAAAATGGAATGCTGTGTATGTTAAACAATGCCTTTCTTGGTGGAGGTGTCAAGCTTATTCCTTCTTTTTTGAGACACAATGCTACATATATGTCTTCTAAATATACATATGGCACCTTTAGAGACCTGCTAAGAATCCTTGTGGCGACATCTGTGGAGAAAACGTAGCCAGTTCCTGAGCAAAAACTAGGGTATTCATCTTCTGGATACATTTCTTTTGGCATGTACCATTTGCTTGTATTGACACGATGTGGTTGATACCCTGTCATGATGGAGCCAGTAAAGTAGTCTGTCTTGGGAAGTTTAACATTCCATAGCAATTTTTGTATCAAATATTCTGTATTCACAAACATATCACTGTCAGTTTTCATAACAAAACTAGCTTTAGAGCAATAGGTAGCAACCCATTTCATGCCCATTAGAGTTTTAAGGGTCAAGTTTTTGTAGGTGTCTACAAAATCCTGTTGAATGATGTCATGATAACGCCAGCTTTCTCTCAATATGGCTTGGTTTGGGACCCTCTCATTCACCCCTAACATAAACAACCGGATGATCTCCACTCCTGGAACCACCTTTTTGTTCCCCCATGTCCTCCTGATTGCTTGTCTATGTTCATGGTCACTAAACTTGGTTGCTATTAAGAGTATCAAGAAAGGGATTCTTTTTGTGCATTTGTCACTTTCATTAATGAGAAAATGGTAGGGATAGAGATGGATGTAGTTCTCTGGGAATCTTTTGCTAATGCTTATGGACATGTTAGCATTTCCTTCTGATTCCTGACTTTTCTGTGAAGACTCTTCAACACTTGAAAAGCTGTTACTTCTGAAGAAAACACTTTCTTTGCTTTCTTTCTCAGTATCTCTTGCAAAATATAAAAGTCTATGCCATTTTTCTTGAATATGGATTGGAGGTGAAACAGTTAAGTAATGAGAAACGCTAGGAATCAAGAGTATACAAGTCAAAAGAAAAGAGAAGGAGCCAACCAGGAAAATATATAATTTAACGCAATGCCAAGAAATGTAAAAATGTCTCTTCCACAAAGTCCTATTTCCCATCTTCATCTATTATTAGTTGGATACATACTTGCCATGAAAAAATGATGTTTCCATTTCCAGTAATTAATTTCTGAAATGTAATTCTTTAGGTTCTGCTTTTCATATAGTCTTCTATGCACAGAGTACAAAATCCAGTTTATCTTGTCAATTTTGATTTTTACTTCTTAAAAACATTGCATTTCTGGATATTGTCTTCCCAAGGTCTCTTTCTACACAATAACCATTTGCTCTTTCTGGAGAATAACAAAATACGTAATTAGAAAGATTATCATGTCTTATCTGCTTTCTCATCCTTCTTAAAAATACAACATTGTTCAGTATTTACCGCAAAAATATATGCAAACATTTTAAAAATTGTGATTCATGGCACTTGCCTATTTGAGCAGGTTTCTGGAGAGGTGGCATATGAAATTTATAAATAAATACATTTCTAAACAAATATTCACTTCATATGCCTTATGGGTAGATCTCATTGGGCTATGTAAGTTGTATCCATACATTTTCGCAAAGCATTCTGGGGTTTATAGGCATGGGATTTATGGGCACAAATTTTTTACACGTCATCACAGACACCAGTATTAGCAATATTTAAAAATGACCGTCTATTGAATGTCTGTGAGATTAAAATTAGGACACATACCTTGGATTGATATGTTTTACCATAATTCCCTATGATTCACACAACACTTACAACATTAAATATTTCTAATCTACTCATACTAAGGGTGCTGTAAATTTTGCAATAAATTTGTTCAACAGCTGAATTTAACTTATTGTAACGTATTGCTGACTTATTGTAATTTATTGTAATGTATTCCCAATCACTCAGCCTGTTCAGTTCGTGCTGAATGGCTGCAGAAGCCCGTCAATCATGTCTGTTTGGGAAACTGTGCACACGCTAAAAAGTTGCTGATACAAATCGATCAGCAGCCTTTAGCATTCCTAGGGAATAAATAGACAAACACTGAATTATAGGATTTTATTAAAACACACAACTGATTTCTTATTATTTATCAAAAGACAGATGACTGATCTATATGATTTGTAGCTGATTTATTTGTTTACTAGGAAAAAGGCCCGTTGTGGAAATAAATACAATGGCCTCTAGAAAGAGGCTCTGGGCGGGTGCTCCAGACTTGGACACTCAGTGTCAATTTGCTGTGGCGACCTCAGCAGGGTATAATGACACTGAGTCCACCATTTTCTCCAGAGGAACTGATCTCTGCTACCTAAAGAAAAGTTGTAATTTTGAGTGATCTCCAGCTCTCATCTGGAGATTGGCGATGGTTCCCCAGAAGGGAATAGTTGGTTTGGAGGGCGGAGTCTATGGTTTTGTACCTGTCCGAGGTCCCACACCTCCTGAAACCTCACCCTCTCCAGGCTCCATCCCTCATATTTCCAGGAATTTCCCACCTGGAGTTGGCAACTTTATCTCCTTCCCAGCCAATCATCAACCTACCTTTATTTCCCCTTCACTCTTCAGCTTTCCACCTCCCACAGCCTCTCCCTTGCTCTGAAGCCCTGACTGCTACATCACATTGGCTGTCATATGGGGGCCACCTCAGCAGCATATAAGGATACAGAGCCCACCATTTTCTCCAGGGGAACTGATCTCTGCCATCTGGAAAGCAGTTGTAATTCTGAGTGATCTCCAGCCCTCACCTGGAGATTGGACACATTTTACCTCAGAACAGCAAACTGTTTAGAATGTTAGAGGCAAAAGCCAATCAAGTCTCATATGCAAAAGACCTCTGTGTTCCGAGGCAGAGGCCAATGAGGCTGCATATGCAAATAACCCCTGTGTTCTGACTGGCTGTGGGGGGGAGAGGATTAGCAAAATGTTTAGAATGTTGGAGGCAGGACTCAGGCAAAGCAGCCAGTGGATAGGGAGACCCTCTGAATGACAGATAAGAGAGCGATCTGATTTTGGAGCGAGTGGAATGTTCTAGAGAAGTGCCACCACCATTCGGCTATTATTTATAAGGGAGATTTAAGCAGTCAGCTGCTAAGTAGAGCAGCTACACAGCAAGGACAGGGGGCAGTAGGGTTCAACTGGGCTTTGTGAGGACACACACGTACAAAAAAGATATTTGATCTGTACTACATTGGTTAGGAAGGAATACAGTGAAGTAACCTGCTAAACAGCCACAAGCAGGATGACGAACAGTTCAAGCACCCCTAACTGATTCTAGAGGTGCCCAACAGTAAAATGAAGATAAAAGAAATTATGGATGGGTGAGTGTTTCCAGTTGTGCTTCTTTTCATATTAATGTTTACTTCAGTCAACAATTCTGTGTAATCCGCCTTGAGTCCACGTGAGAAAGGCAGACTATAAATGTAAATAAATAAATAAAATCAGTTTTGGTCCTCTGCTCTTCACCTAGCCCATTCCACATGTTACAGTGAATGCACAGATATTTATTTATTTCGATTATTTTATTTAATCTATTTGTACCCCGCCTTTCTCCCCAATAGGGTCCTAAAGCAGTTTATGTAATTCTCCTGTCCACCATTTTATCCTCACAACAACCTTGTGAAGTAGGTAATGCTGATATATTGTGATATATTGTGACTGGCCCAAGGTCTCCCAGCAAGCTTCCATGTTACAAGTGGGGATTTGAACCTGGGTCTCCTTGATACTGTCCAGCACTCTTACACCACACTGGCTCCCCTTTCTCCATGTATGTACACATGTCTGAAAGAAAGATCCATCTCACATTCACTTTACAAATGAAAGTAGGGACTGGTACCTGGGGATTTAAATCACACTTTCAGTTGTACATGTGTTGAATGTAATGTGAGAATGACTCAACACAACTATAACGGAAAATCCAGTACACAGATTATTTATGCAGTGAAGCTTTGTTGAAGCTTATGGACAGGGCTACAGTTGTTTTCAAAGCTATGTGCATCAGTCTCCCCTTTTCCTTTTTATCCTCACAACTTTGTGAGGTAGGTTAGATGAGAGAGAAGGTGACTGGCCCAAGGATACCCAGTGAGTTTTATAGCAGAGTAGGGGATTTGAACCTGTCTCCCAGATCATAGAGAGATGCACATGTAGTTTTACTCTGAGAGAATATGTATGAAACCTTAAGAAGGTGAGAATGTTTGGCATGTCAGGTGATTGGTACTTGTACTAGCAGCAGACAAGTACAGGCTGCAGTGGCTCAAGTGGTTAAAATGCTGAACTGCAGACTGGAAGGTTGGTAGTTCAGCAGTTCGAGACCTGAGTGCTGCATGATGGAGTGAGGTCCCATCTCTGGCTCCTGCAAACCTAGCAGTTCAAAAGCAAGAACCTGCAATTAGATAAATAGGTTCCACTTTGGTGGGAAGGTAACAGCATCCTGTGCGCCTCGGCATCTAGTCATGCCAGCCACATGACCACGGAAACGTCTTTGGACAGTGCTGGCTCTTCGGCTTGGAAATGGAGATGAGCACCACATCCCTAGAGTCGGATTCGACAGGCTTTCGAGCAAGGGAAACCTTTACCTTTACTAAAGGACTAGAAAGATCAGCAGGGATACTACAATACCCCCTTCCATCCTGTTAGTTGGTTCATCCTACACATGCATTTCTAGGCTATCATTACAGTGATATATCAGCCATGGTGGAAGCCATGGTTTAAGCATAAGCACATAGTAGAGATGGTAAAGCCAATTGAATACAGAAAGGAATGTTCTTGCATCAGCCACCTCATAGGCATCATACAGCCGAACAGATTATGACGATTTGTCCAATTTTTACTGAGTAATTGTACAGCACACAGAAATGGAAACCATTTCAAGCCCCAAGGGGACAGCTTTGATAATGAGATTTCATTTCTGCAATTGTATTCTTGTCACCAAATCAACAAAATTAAATTAAAATAGAACTAAAATTATGGGCATAATTTTCTACAATATGGTTTCGCTTGCTACCAGTTGAAGGAAATGCTTGCTCATCTTCCCCCCCCCCCACGGCCATGATGCTCATTTCCTGCCAACCTATCAGTTCGAAAACAAGAAATTGCAAGTAGATAAATAGGTACCACTTTGGTGGGAAGGTAACAGTCTTCCACGTACCTGGGCATTTAATCATCCTGGCCACATGACCATGGAAACATCTTCGGACAATGCTGGCTCTTCAGCTTGGAAATGGAGATGAGCACCGCCCCCTAGAGTCTGATTTGACTAGCTTTCGAGCAAGGGAAACCTTTACCTCATGATGCTCATTGGGGGACCCTCAGGGCACAAAGACTCATGATGAGAACCACATATTTCCAAAGGCTGTGCATGCATGAAGACTTCATTTGGATCAGGGTCACACAGGGAGGGCAGATGGGATTTAACCCCTCGAGCCACATTCCGTTTCTCTCACTGAAACTTGGCATCCCACAGTCTTGCTACTTCATAATAAGTCTTAAAAGAGGATTTATCCCCCCCTTTAAAATATTAAAAATAGTGTGGGAAGCCTGGTTTCAGTTAGTGAAAACCAAGCACTGCCCACTCTGTGTGGCCCCACTCAGAATCTGGGCCACCTGCATGTGTCATTTCAACAGATGGAGATGTATGACTCTCATGTTTGCTTTTGCACTTAGCCTAGCACAACCTAGAGAGTTTCTGTAAAGATTAAATGGACAATCAGCTATTTTGAGAAGTCCTTAATATCTTATCCTTGCATGAAGGTCCCACAAATTTGATGCATGTGCATAGGTTGCCTCC